GTCGTCGCTTCGCATGCCGTCGAACGCAGGCCCCAGTACTTGCATGAACGATTTGCGGCAAGGCGGTGCACGGCGATGGTCCGCAGCGCAAATACTTTCGGCAAGGACCGGGGTGAGTGCCGGTGCGCGATCGAGGCGCGGTCAGTGTACATCGCGCCACCAAGCTGCCGCTCATGCTCGGTCGGACGAGCGTGCCTAGTCATGCCGCCTCCCGTGGACGAATGGTCTGGCTTGGTCGGCCCGCTGAAACGCCGGACCATAAGACGGATGGTAGGTGGGTCGCGCCGCGACCACAATTCATGAGCGAACTCGAGGCGGTCCATGGCGGCGGTAGGCGGTGTTGTGAAACCGCTTCAGCTTACGAAACGCCAACAAGAGCGTGTCCCATTGTCAGACGTGACGGCCGGTGAAGGCCGCGGGACGATGTACATCGCCGATAAGATGGCGCTTTTCAAGTGGTCCTTTCTCAAAATTGCAGATGAAAGCGTCATCGTCGAGTGCGCGGGCGGTGTAAGAGAAGAACGATAAGTTCCTTCCTGGCGTTGAGGTGAACACGGCGTCGCTGGTCCGATGGCACGGGCGAACTCGCGGCGAGGCCGTCGCCGCAGCTGCCTTAGAGGCGGCGATGCGCCGCTGAAGGCCCGCGGACTTGGTGGTGTGAACGGGTGAGCCAACTTGAATGAAACCCAAACGGAATTGATCGGCGTCGACCACCCGACGGCTACGCATCACGAACGGTGATGGCGCCACGAGCTCCGAATGAGCGCGCTAAGGAGCGGTCTTGACCCGCCGCTTCGCTCGGCGAGACCGGAAGGCCGGCGAGCTGGCGCAGTTGTCTTTGCGGCGGCGGCGCGAACCGCTGCAGGATCGTGGCGGCATCGCCAAGATAATGACGTCTGTGATGTCGGCGACGTGCCACCGCGGCACCGGTGGAGGATGGGCGATGGTCAGCAGTCGACGAGCATGGCGTGGCGATGTCGAGCTAATCCACGAACCGTTGGCGAGCTTCCAAGGGAACGGCGGCAACGTCCGTGCATGCGGGAACCGCTTAGCGAGTGTCGGCGGCAGCGCGGAGATGGTGGAAGTGCAGCGCGTCGAACTTAGCGGTAAGGGCAGCGGGGAGACGGCTGATACGACCGGCAGTCGCGGGGACCAGCGAAGCGGTGATGGCGTTGTGGGTTTTGAGTGGCTCGGAACGCCGGCCCCATCCACTCGCAGTACCGGCGTAAGAGTGGGTCGACCGGTGTCGAAAGCGAAACGCCAAGGTAGCCATGGACGGCGGTACCCAAGACCAGCCTCAGGCGACCGCGATGGCAGAACGAATGTCACGATGGAGCCCGGCCGGCGAGTGGATTGACCTCGCAACGGCGTCAGAAGCGTGGAGGAAGAAGCGCCGGGTACTCAGTTCTGTGTGGCGGGCGGCCATACGAGACGCAGTCGGCGGTAAGCGCGTGACGTCGCGATGGCGCGCGATGAAGTTGTGGCGGAGTGCGACCGACTTGGTCAGTGGGACGATGAGCAATTGTCTGCGGAGTCACCTTGCGAAGGAAAGATTCCGCCAGCGGATGGTCGGCGCTCATGCACCGCACGGAGCGAGAACCACCATTGGCCTTGCGGAAAGAAGGCTGCGTGATCCGCGTGTGCCTGTCGCCCGAGGAGCAATGATCAATCGGTGACGTCTGTCGAATGGCGGAGGCGAGACGGTGCTGACCGGAGTGGCATCACTACGCGACGTAGAAGCTTGTGCCATGGTGCCAAGTGCAATGGCGTCACCGTGGGCTCGAAGTGAGCGTACGTCGGCCTTCGCGGAGACCAGCTTGAGGAACCGCGCTGGCCGAGACCGCTCAGGCGCCGTAACGGCACGCGGTTGCAGCGGTGCCGCCGTGAAGGGCGCGCAGGCGCAGACTTTACGTACGCTTCGGCCATGAGTGAAGCGACTGGCCGGCCTCATGGCGGCCAGAGCGGCGCAGCCTTAATGAGAGACTTGAGGCGGCGTTCGAGCGTGGGCGGTCGATGAAGCCGCAGTGCGGCATCGGACCGGAGTTCTTCCGGATGGCAGCAGCCAAAGCGCCGATTTGCGGCCTGGGCAGTACTCCGCGACGGTTCCTGCGAGCACGACAATCGGGAAGAGTGGCCGAGGCGGCGGCGGCTGGCCGATGCGGCATGTTGTTGGTTGCGTGGAATGGAGCGACCGAGTTGTCTCAAGCAATGCGTGCATCATCGACTCCAAGTTCCGGTCTTGGCGATGTCCAGAAGGCAATGTACGGTCGTCGAGGCGGAAGAGCCATCCACACCAATGTCGCATGATCGCAACCCGGCACCGTTTGGCCGACGCCATGGTGATGAAGCGAAAAGTCGTCAAAACGGTGCCATCGCGGCGTGGGAAGACCATAGAGAATTGGCCCGGTCGTTGGTGCGTCATCACGTCTTGGTCGTAGCGTAATCGGGGCGAAATGGGTCGGCCGTGAGACGCGATGACGGAGGCTGTACGGCGAGAACCTTCCTTCATGGCGCCGGGAAGCCGTTGTTGTGGTCGGACTATGGCATGCAGACGGTGAGCGGAAGCCTGAAGCCAAGACGGCGCTGATGGCGACGTGGTGGGGATGAAGCGGCGACGGTTGGTGAAGAGGAACAGACGGCGAGGATCGCTGAAACGTGATACCAGGTTGTCAAGGGCCTCAAACCGCGGAAGCCGGCTCACCACGATTGGGGTCCAGAACATCCGCCTTCTCCGGGACCGGCGTGTCCGTCGTTGTTGCCGTAATTAGCGAGAGAGAGATGGGGGACGGAATAACTTCTTGGCGTCCACGGTTGTGGCGCTGTACAATATCATGGCCTCGGCCCTGGAAACAAACTAAGCAAGGCGACGGCCTAGAATCATGGATCAAAGACCCGGGCTAATCGGCCGGCCTTGATCTTAGCCACTGATGGCTGGCTTTGGGTTCTGGCGGTCGCAGAGGTTCGAAAGCATGCCGCTTTGCGGCAGATGACATGACGCGCGCTTGCTGGCCGAAGGAGTATCTGGCCCCACATGAGTTCGCATCCATGACAGTGGAAGTCATATTAGCATGTCCCGTCACAAGCGACCTTCTATTTGAAGGGACGGTGGCGTAGCTGAATTGGCCTGGCATGAACTATATTCTTGTATTAGCTGCGGGCTTTTACTGCAACGCAACGTCATCCTCGCGGTCCGGTCGAAAACTGCCCATCTTCTTCAGAATCATCGAGACGAGAACTTCGGATGGGCGGGGAAGAACATGTTGTGGCAGGGAATGCTTGAAGGCAGAGCGTCTCATAACCTCTGCAAAACATGAATCGAAGTTGCGCGCTCCGTAGAAGGTGAAGCCATCCAGCCTTCCTTCCTCCATCATCCTGCATATATCAAGAACGGTTGATTGGATACATCGTATCGGTTCGGTAGCGCGATGAGAAGCGGCCGTCCAGCCTTCGCCGGCCCACATGATTCATGAAGGCACAGGTTTACACTAGCAGCTCTTTCGTGACTCAGGACAGCCGCTGTCCTTTCAATCATCATCATGGGAAGCTTAGCGGGACCAATGGGGATTGGTCCATGCAAGCTTAACTGGAAGGGTTTGTAAGAACGAGTAGTGATGGAGGTGGGAAGATGTATATAAATTTGTTCATCTCCAGATAGTGAAACGATAGCTGTTTCCTGTGGATAGCAACTAATGTATCTATACTGAGGAAAGCCGTAGCAATTTTTCAGAATGACTTTCCTGCCATGATCATCCAGAAGAAGGTTTCAGATATTGAGCTAGCACCAGCTGTCTTGGTGCTTTTACGCCCCGATAAAACTGCCCATGACGGAGGCCTTGTCCCGGTGACTTTTTAATGTCACGGTAGCAGGGTACAAGGCAGAGGGTATATCTGCACATGACTCCATTTGATTCTTGTTGATCAAAATGTAATTTTATAGGTCGGCCCACATATTTGAAACACTTTCGACTGCAATCATCATTGAGGGACCGGTTGCCAAAATTAGAGGAGGGAAGATGTATATTCCATTCCAGTCAGCTTGTCGTGGTTGAAGGTTTCTGGACCAGCTGGTCACTAATCCTGTTGAAAGTCAGTTGTCTGTCACTAATCCTTCAGATGCTGTATAATTGCATCAAGTCTAGAAGGAAACAGGTGCTTTTGAAAAGCCACCTTATAACATCAAAAGGAGCCTAGGAGATTTCGATTCAAACAAGAATTCCCAGTCAAAGCTAAAATTGAACTGACATATTCAAGTTTTCAATTACAAAACTTTGCGTGATGACATCCAAGTTCTTGGGCAAGCTTAGATTTTTTTCGCGTCAAGATTCAAGGAATAGTACTAATACTAACATAAAATGACAAAATAGGATAGGGATGCATATGTTTCTATTAAAGTAGCATCGAGGCATTTATGAACATACCCCACATTTACATTTCCTCGCCTGTCCAGACCTTGAGCCGGTCAACAAAAAATAATAAACAATAGTAATCCTTACATCACACAGAAGTGACTCACACGGGCAGCCGATTCCATCGGCTGCAAAATTTATCAGGCATCATATGGTGTCGCTTCGAATGTTTTTTTGCAGTGCAACAGCACTCTATTTTCTTCTATGAGCCATTCTCGCCTGATAAACAATAGTAATCCTTATGCAACAAAATGAACCAAAACATACACAACCAGCACAAAAAGACATAATCACCAAATAAACCAGAATAGACAGACATGGTGCGAAAATATGTTTCGCATGTGTCTGATGCCAAGGATGCTCTGAGCTGTACCAGCGTGAAGCAGGCTCAGTGAAGTCAGTACCACTCTCTAGCCTGATGGGGCATGGCCACTTGTTGACGAGGGTTTCGCAACGTAGATCTGCTTCATCCTACCAGTGCCTGAACTCCTGTCGGAACCAGAACCTTGACTCCTACCCTGGTACCCTGATCGCCGTTGCCACTCATTACCAGTACCAGCCTTTTGGGTCGGACGGGCCCGGCGATCCTGATTGTTAACGGATGCTGGTACTGCTGGTCTGATGATGATGGCGACTGATGGGTCTTGGAAGGTATGCTGGTGACCTGAGGGCCGTTCGTGTTGCTAGCAACCCCTGCGGCAGTTCAGGGTTGACTTTAGATGGGGTCGCTCTAACCATGACTTTGGCACTGGTCGAGACTTCATTGCTGATCACGCCTGCCTGGCCAAATGAAGGCTGAACAGTTTGGGAGCTTGAACTAGTTGAGGCTGGCTGTTCGACAAGACCTAACTCATCTCTGTACTGAGAGGCAGCTGCATTTGGGAAGGTCTTGTTGCCATCTGATGGTCCAGCAGAAACAGAGGACTCCTGAAATCGGTTATTTGTACTGGACTTGTCTACTGGCACGTTATGAACAAACTGTTGTGTGGCTGTACCATCTACTGGATGCTGCTGAAGTGCAACTGATAATGGAACTGAGCGTAGAGGTACAGGCATATGTGGCCAACACGTTTGCATCTGTATGTCTGTAGATGTCTGGAAAAACAGCGAGGATAGTTAGTTACAATGCAAATGAAGATTGCAACATAAAAATGCAAGAGTTAACTACATGATTTTTTCACTGTCTTGGCATGTATCTACGACAATTAAAATGCATACCTGGAAAGGAGCAATGTCGAACATGGTCAATGGAGACGGGATTGGCATGATAGAAGTTGGGCGTAGATGTGGAACTGGAGCAGGAACACTAGGAGCATTTAATTGACCAGACACCATATTTTGGCTGTTTGGATCACTCTGGCTTACACCAACAATAGGTGGTCCTTGGCTTTGCTTCCAATCAGGCTGCTTGTCACCAGGGATATAAGTGGCTCCCATAAAACCAAGTCCCATCTGACCAAATTGCCCTACTGGGGCGAAGTGGTTATAGACCACCATATGTGGGGGACCTTGCACGCCTGGGATTCCACCTGGAGTAATGAAAGGACCAGCGTACCCAGTTGGAGGACGGTAGAAAGAGTCTACCCCAGAATGACACTGCGGCCAAGCTCCCAATGGTGCTGAAGGCAATGCATTGCTTCTTTGAGGGTGCTGACCTCGAGAACCAGCAGATTCGTCACTTGGGCCAAATGCAAAAATGTGCCCTCCTAACATCGAATTCATATCAAAGCAGGAAAAGTGGGATGGCTGTGCACCATGAAACTGAGAAAGCATTGGCCCTGATGCTTGTGGACTGGCTATAGGAGGCCACAAGGACATGGATGGAGTATCAACTGATAAGTCTGCAGGAAGAGCAACTGTGAGCAGCTCTTCGGTGGATGATTGACCAGCTTGACCTGTTCTTGCCCCTGCTTCAGTTTTGTCCATAACACAATAAATATAGCTACATAATCATATAACAATGTTTTAATTAAAGTATTTGACAATGCAAAGATCATACCTCCTGATGTTAACCCACTGAGATCCTTGCTTGTAAAGCTCTTGGTGTCTGGAGCCGATGCTGTAGTCGCATCAGCTGGAGATCCCTCATCAGTGCTAATAGCTGCCACAGCCACAGCAGAAGCAGCTGCTTCAGCCTCTGCTTCTGCATCCTCGGTACTCGGACATAATTCCTTGGAATTTGCCTTATCAGGACCACTGTTATCGCTAGACAAGCCACGATCAATCTTCATATCAGGCCTAGATGAACCTGGAGCTCCAAGACCACTTGAAACAGTTCGGCTAACTGGGGGTAGCATGGTTGGCGAGGTTACTGCCCCTGAGCAACATTGTTATTCATTGTAAGTCAAGTGGCAATAAACATCATACAGTACTGATGAAAAGTGCTTACCAAATTGAATCTTCTCTCCAGCCAGAAGGGAATTAATCGGACTAGCAGATGAAGGGAACACCTTTTCTGTGGTTACTGTGGGAGACAAAGCATTGTTGGACTCCAAAGAAAAGCCAGACCCAGCCTGCTGTTCAAATTTAGCTGGTCTCATAGCTTCTTCAAGTTGAGTTTGAGTTAATGGCATAACCTACATGTGAACAAGTTGCAAAAAATATTTATATATATGAAGACTAGAGAATTAAGATAAAACCATAGTTCAGTGGCATATGCCAGACTAAAAAGTTGCTTCCTGAAAATCCAAATAAAATGTACAATTGCATTCAATAGAAAATACATTTACAGATAAGTATATAATAATTTGAAGGTAGGGACGCACGCATTGCAATGTACAATAAGAACTACTTAAACTGCATGCTACCAACACAGCAACATGAGCATTTAAAAAGGTCAAGTTTAGTTTATGATTGTCAATCTTTTACCTAAATAAGAACTACTTGAACTGCAACTTCTGGATAGGAGCACATGGAAATCACACTCCATGTGGATAAATCATAACCTTATCAATCTCCTTACTATCACTACGATGCTATTACTCATACATGTCTTACTTTTATTCAGGGGCAGCCCTTGTTGGGTTCATCTCTAGCAAAAGGCTTTGTTCTGTGGTCGCTCTTGGTGCAGGATTTCAAATAGAATTTTCATCAACACTTTAATTTTTTTTAGAAAAATATAAGGAAAGACAACAAAAAAGACACTCATGTGATACAATTCCCAAATAATATGTTGAAATATGGTTATCTAGCATTGTAGTCTTAGGATGTTTATCACGAGCAAGTTTGGTTCCCGACTACCTCGCTAGTCTAAAGCAAGCTTACCTAGCCAGCGCAGGCGAGACAAATTTGCTCGCCTGCGGAAGCAAGCAAAAAGCTCCCTAGCTCAGGTCCCAAGGAAGCCTCACCCAGCAATCTCTCTGATTTCTGACTCAACAAGGCTGTACAGTGCTCAACCAGGCAACCAAATGTACCGACGATATTGCTATCCATTCCTCTTCTGGTGTTTGGATTAATAATTTGTACAAATTCAGAAGAAAACACTCACTGAATTATGCAAGTACAGTAGGCATAATAACTGTTTAACTTTCCATAATTTTCTGGAAAATAGCAAGGTAATCTGGTTTGCATCCATGAAAAAACAAAATGTAAATACACCTTGATGTATTGGGAGTGAATATATGTAGAATTCATTCACAAGAAACAATCTACAACCAAAGATAAAGAATGGAAAATATGGATGCAACAATAAAAGAATATAGATTTGCCACCATTGGAACACAAATAAACTTGAGAAAAGCAATCTACCTGCTGGTTTATTTGTGAATTATCCCAGGAAACCATGTTAAATGGAGTACTAATAGATGCCCCTTTATTGTTGTCTTCAGATAAGCCACTCACAAGCTTTGCAGGACTGGAGGTGACCAAGTCAGAGGATGTCTGGATCTGGATAGGCCTGTAAAAGCTTTTGTGAGTGACCCTCAAGCATAGCCTTAATTGGTTGAAGAACTTAAGCATAATTAAGCTACATACTGATTGGCAAAGCAGTTTGTATGAGCTTCTGCATTGGTTGAAGGTGGCCCTATGAGGTTCATGGAAGCCGTATCAACCATCGATGGAACTGAAGTTTCAGCATAGTCAGCAATTCTTCCTTCTACCGTGATGGCAGAACCGGAAGAAACTTTCTTTGGAACTTCTCCACTCGAAGGAGCTGCTCGCTTATTCACGCTAGGACCAACTGAGCTTTGTAGGGAAACACTATGCTGTTTGCGGGAGCCTGATACAACCAACATAAAAGCATTAATTAACTCAAATAAGGTAAAAACAAGATAAAAATTTAAGCATATGAAACATGATAGATGGGCACCTTTGCCATCCTCATTTTGGATCTATTTTCTTTCTCCCTCTGCTCTCTCCTGACACTCATGATCTGTCTTTTGGACCTTACTTCAATGAAGCCATCTGCATCAACAGGGATCTCAATGCCCTGTTGCTTCACTGCTTCTGAACAGTTCCAGCTTGCAATGAGGTAGTATCTCCATCAGGGACAGCACCTGTTCTAGACTTCTTGCTCCCACCATGAGATCTCTCATAAGGAACATTGTGTGTACTTCTAAATGAGACACTCTGATCACTTGCTTCATTTATCCTAGAAGCCTTGTTCATATCAAGTTCCCTTCTATTAGTATTTCTCGCTGGAACATCTCTTGTTCCATTGGAGCATGTCATCTCGTCTTGTTCACCATGGCAAAATGACTCAGAAGTTTCATTTTGATTCTTCTCGATGTTCTCCCGAACTCTAAACTCAGTCCGTCTTACATTCCTACGAGCCCTTCTCTGGAATCCTCCTTTGGAATCTTTATGAGAAGGTTCAACAAATGAGCCGGTAGATCTCATGTTGATGTCTTTAACAGCATAACCATATCTCCTCCCCCTTCTATCAGAGACAACACCAGGAGCCTTTGGATCACCCATGGCTCTCCCCTCCAAACCATATTGAGAAGATTCTACATTGTTGGAGGTAGGTCTGTAATTCCTCTTCAAAGAGAGATCTTGATTCCTACCACTGGGAGTTGTACCCTCAGCAGATTCTCTGTCCACCTGGCCATGAAATCCCTCCACACCAGCCATCTGATTGTTTGCAGGAGCATTGAGATACTGAGAGTTTGAACTGTCCATTCCAAGGGGAAGCTTGTCTGTAGGCGCTGCTGATTTATTGATAAAGGTGGATGAGCTTGCCTGAGCTGGGATGTTCTGGTTTGTATCTCCATCCGTTAGCTCAGGTAGAACACTGGACGCATTCTGATTCAATGTATGTTGAGCTGGTATGGAAGAATGTACAGGGCGGATGGCCTGAGAAGGCAGCGATCGAACACTCGGGGCGATAGGACGGGCATACCTCAACTGGCCAAACTGATATAAAGGGGCTGTTGAAGGGTGCATGTGAGGCAGGGATGGGTTAAACTGATTGTGGAGATGGATTGGCATCTGTATGGAACCAATTTGAATGGCTGGAACTGGAGTTGGTATTAGAGGAGGACCTGTAAACAAACCAAACTGGAGGCTAACAGGTACTTCATTCTGCCCAACTACTGCTGAAGCTGATGAAAAAATAGGACCTGCAGAAGATGCCTGAGGTAACTGGGAACTTGAAGCAGGTGTCCCTAAGCTATTGAATGGCTCCCCATTACTGTCTTTTGTCAGGGCATTTACACGATCAAGAGTCAATGCCTGCAGTGCTTTCTCTGCTTCAGTAACAGGATCAGAATGGACAACTGAACCACTGACATTCTCTTGCTCTGCAACTCCTGAGTATAGATGTACTCCAACAGTCCTTTCAGTGCTCCTCACAGAAGCTAATTCAAGTTGACTATTCGGTGGAATTTCAACCTGCACGCCCTCATCAAATCCAAGTATAACTGGTTCCAGTTCTACAGGTGTATTCTGTCCCTCTAAGAACTCATCATCCAAGTCAATATTCTCATCATCAGCTTCATTGATTTCATCCTCCTGGTAGCTATCATTGTCTTCATCATATTCATCCTGTTTCCGCCTATCATCATTGTTTACACTTGACCATTCATCATCCTCCAAGTGGGGCACTCCTGAGGCAGCAATTCTGCTTGTATTGTCTGCATCTACAGTCAGAGCTGCATTGTCGTTGTCAGAGAGCACCGTTCGTTCACCATCAGTAGAAGTCGGTAACGCAGGAGAATCACCCGATACATCCATCTCATCATGCGAAACATGTGGAGGTGAGCTAGGAGGGCTTGAAACAGAAAGAGAAGATTGTGAACCCAATACAGGGCTTTTTCTGTCCACAATTTGGTGCTCATTAACAGAAATGTGGTCAGGTCGTATCCCATGCTGGCGAGATGCCTCTTGGTATGCACTTCCATACTGACCCTGCATAATCTGCACATCATCTCTACCAGAACTCTCTCCGTTCCCACCATCCACAAAAGATGAATTGATACGTTGAGCTGAAGCACCGACTGAACTTCGCACAGATGTCACAATTGGGGGTGGGGGGACACGTGGTTGCCGCATAGAGTAGCATGGTCTGGTAAAAGAAGACAATTCATTAACATCAGGACTCTGAAACATCCTATCTCCTTGTTGAGCATGAGCATTGAGGCTTCCATGAGAACTACTAGGCAGCCAAGCTGTATCTCCAAACCTGTCACTGTTAAAAAGCTCATTGTCAAAGTCAGATTGTTTGCTGAAACGGTCAATCTCCCTAGGCGCATCCCATCGTGGAACCTTTTCATGACGGAAATCTTCGAGTGCCCATGGAGAATCAGTTGTTCGGCCTGTTGAAGATTGCCTGACCGAAACACTCCCAAATCCATCATTAAGATCTTTCTTAGGGAAATTTCCCCTCTTTGCAGCAAAAGGGTCACGCCGTGGACTATGATGCACATTCTCTTGTTCTGGAAATGCAGCTCGTGAACTATAGTATGCATTTTCTCTATCAATAAATGAAGAGCGTCCATCCGTAAGAGTGTGCACCCTTGGAACTGTCTCACTGAACCTGTTAAGACTAGAGGATTCCAATGGTGCTGAGGTATTGATGCACTCGTTCATTTTATCAATATCGTTTCTGTCACCAAAGTTAGCAGAGTGTGACAGGTCTCTGTCCTTGATATCTCCAGGAATAAATTCATCATTGACAGCTCTTGCGCTGCCAATGTTTGATTCTGCTTGTCTTCTAGCAATTTTTGCCTCCAATTCTAGGAGCTTCTGACGCGCTGCCTCCCTACGCCGCTCCTCCTCAATGGCAATCCTCTTCCTTTCCTCCTCCCTGGCAATTCTCAGCTCCTCAGCCCTTTTAGCGGCTTCCAGCCTCTCTTGCTCAGCTTGCCAAGCTGCCTGCTTTGCCTGCTCCTCCATCAGACGTTGCCTCTCTTCCTCTTCTCGTATCAGCCTCTCCCGTTCCTCTTCTTGCTTCCGAGCAACTTCTCTGGCCCTTTCCTGTTCTTCCATTACCCGTTGTCTCTCCTGCTCCTGTACCCTCAAGATCCTATCAAGCTCTGCCTCAAACGACTCCCTTGCTGGGTCATGAAAATCAGCTGGTTTAGCTGCTTCTTTCTTCTTCTTTATTGCAGTCAAGTTAACGGCAGAAATGCTGTCAAAACCGCTATCCTCTATTAAAGGCTTAGCAGGGGAACCAGTCAGCCGCTTCTCCCTACCAAATTTTGCCACTGGATCATTAATTAAAGGCCCTTTATTACCACTAAAGGGCTGCACTTTGGAACCAACATTATTCTGGAAAGAATTCAACCTAGGCCAATTATTTGAACTGTTGCCGTAACGCTCGCTAGCAGCTTCCCCAACTCGTGTGGTTCCATACTGTTCCACCCCATTCTGACCATAGGCACGCATAGGAGGCTCCTTACTATTACTCCACACATCCTTTCCGGCAGCTATGCTTTCCCGATATGATTGCCCACTGCTTCCTCTGCCACCACTGTATGGTCGGCCATCTGTTCGCTCCCTATCGTGTTGGTTTGACACGGGAGATCGCCACAGGCCGTCTTGCCCACCTTCTTTATTTGTTGCAGCCGCATCTCTCCCAAACAGCTCCTTTTTGAAGGGCTCCCTCATTGCTCCATAAAGGTCGCGCCCTGGAAGCATGGCCTCAGTCCTGCCAAATCCCCTCTCCCTGCTGTCCCGCTCTGGAAGGCTCAGCCCTGTGTCACGCTCGTCATCAGCCCAGTCAGAATCATACCTAAGCCGGACCATCGGAAGCGGCCCCAGATCAGGCTTCTGCACCCTCTCAGCGGAAGTGCGGCCACCAGGTCCCAAGCTCCCACCAGAGGCCAGTGGCTCAGTGGCCCGCGAGGTTGTCACCTGCGGCCGCATCCCAAGAGGTCCTGGTCGCGCCTCTGGTGTGACGACCCGCGCCCCATCAGCATCCTTCTGCCGCTGCGCAGGCTGCGGAGGTGTCGGCGGGGCAACAGCTGCTTTCAAGGACGGAAGTCCTCCCGCGCAAGACGACGGCTTTCTCCGCAAACCCATATGACGGTGGCCTGGCGACGCCGCCAGGAAGCACTGCGGAGCCGAGAGGCTTCTCGGACGCCGGGGCGGGCTTGGTCCAGCCGGCAGCAGGCCCGCCGGATCGAGGCGGGGCCGAGGCGACCCCGCCCCCCGCAGCGGCCGCCGAGCCGTCGAATCGCTCGTGCTCCTTGCGGAGCGACGGTAGGTTGAGCGGCGGCGGGACGGAGAGCTTGGGTGCCTGCGGCTTGGCGAGGGAGGAGGCTCCGCGCGGGCGGGAGAGCACCACCATGCGCCGCCGCCGGCTGAGGAGCCGGCGCCGGCGGGGCGGGAGGGGCGGCCGCCGCCGCCACCGCCATGGTGTGATGAGGGAGCGGGCTGGCCGTAGGATCGGTTGAGGTTGACGGAGACAAACTTGCCGGGGTGCGACATCGGCGGCTGGCGAGGCGCATGAAACCCTAAGCCACGACCCCGTAGGCGCAGCCCGGTGCGAGGGGGCTCTCACGCGCGGGGCGGGCCCTCCGGAGGACCGGAAGGGGCGGGTAGGAGGCGGCGCGCCCTCGCCGCCGGCCGATGAGGAGGCGGCGGCGGGGGTGCGGGGGAGGGGATGGGAAGGTTGATGTGTATCGGGTCGGTGTACGGGAAGGGGGAGGGCAGCTCTAGCTAGGCGGGGTGACTGGTCAGCGGGAAGGTGACGGCGATGGCGGCGATGGGCGGGGAAGCTGCGCGGCGGCACGAATCTTGAGGCGGCCGCTGGTTTTGCCGCGTCGGCTGTGCCCGGTGGTGCGGCGTGGGCTGTTTGTTGCTGGGGCCCGTTGTTCAGTTGAGGCGGTTTAGTTTGATGCGACGCCTGGTGTACCAAAGGCTTAATAAGAAGGCAAACCTAAGGCTATTCCACACGGTGTTCAAATAAAGATCAAAGTTGTGTATTTGTTGTGATTGGATGATCATGAAAGATAACAATGCAAATGGAATTGATGGAATAGCTTTTACGTTGTGGGATATCATCACATCATGTGAAAGCAAGCATATTTGGCAGATGGCAAATGAGATATAAGAGAAATGGATATGGTTTGGTCTCATATAGGTTGCTTGCTTTGCATGAACAAGAAGGGATTGATTGTAGAATGACTTTGATCAAGTTGGAAGAATGAAGAAGAAAATTAGAGTGATGCTATTATAGAAATAGAAATAGAAATAGATATAGAAGTGAAGATTAAGTATGTCAAGGCAAACTGGAGAGGAAATAAGGAATCGTGAATTGGGATCATATTGATGTTGATTCATACGTGTTAAGGTATGGACTCAAACGAGGATGAGCTAAGTCACGTAAGATGGACAATATTTGATATGACTTGGATACGGACAATGTTGATATGGAACTTAAAATGAATGCTTAGTGTGACTTGAGAGTGTCTCGATAGGGTGAAGAAAGCAAATAGATCCTTTCACCTATTCATTCCCATTTAGACGATATCAAGATCCTTTAGGTATTTACTCCATCCGCAACTTACTCAACCTGCTGTCATCCCTAGGCACAACCACATTTACTGTCCATTGATGATAGTTGTTTTAGATTATTTATGAAATATGTCATGATAGTGTATTTATTTGGACACATGGATGTTAATATATTTTTCTAGAAAAATGGCTAAACTTAAACAACTTGACTTAGAGTAAAAGACTAAGTGGCATATAATTTACAGTGGAGCGAGTATTATTTAGTTCTCAAACATCAGCCTATACTCACGGAAAAGAAAGTGGAAATGATAAATTCAACTATGCTCGGCTAATATTGAAATGGACTCCGAGAAGTACAACAAGTTCATCAAAGGTCAACTTCTTAATAAGTCCAGAAGAGGACAAAGGTACCTTGGGCCACACATTTGTGCTACAAGTCACCACTTGGCAATGACTATTAAAAGAGCCATTCCCATGCCTTCCTCTTGCAACAACGAGTTGACGAGAAAGATAGGACAATGGTAAGGGCGCGTTTGGTTTGCACCTTCTAAAGTTTAGTCATCTAAATCAGCTAAAAAAAACTCGGTCTACGGTGGGCAGACAACCCCCGCAGTTTTTTGCACTAGGAAGAAGACATCTCACGCAAGCCAAGAAAACCCTCGAACCCCATGCCCCGCCCTCACACAGAAGACCTTACCCATGTTTTGGGACGCGGAACAGGCGAGGGGGGGGGTTCTGCACAAACTGCGCATTACCGCAGCTGTGCCCCGCGGCAGCTGAGAGTCGAACTCTCGACCGGGGCCTTCCCACGACGGGGACGGAACCACTCGAGCTAACGCTCGCTCCAGCTCATAAACTTTAATAACCTCATGTTTGGTTTATTGGACTAAAATGGACTAAAAGAGTCAGGGTGTTTGGCTCCAAAGTGACTACAAAGTGAGGCAGCCTGACTAAAATGTGATGTTTAGTCCTATTTAGCAACATCTGATTGACTAGTTAGCTAAAGTCCATTTAATCCTATTTAGTCAAAGTATTTAGGTAAAAAGTGACTAAATAAGACTAGATTTAGGAGGTGAAGAGTGTACCAAATACCCCCTAAACAAGAAGAGACGGTCTATGATTCATCCATGAACGACTAGCGAGCAGAGGGAATTGTTAATTAAGATTTAAACATAGAAAAAAATATACATGAGGAAACCTCTTCTTAGACTCCTTATATTTTGGAGCGCATACTTTGTAATGGATAGAGATGCATACCGTTGGCCTATTAGCTACAAATCATTAATGCAAGTAGAAGAGTAAATTCTGAAGTTTAAGAAAGCTGCACAATATTTATTGTTTAAAATCAATATGGTTTTCGGCATCTATTTGGAAAAGGACGGAAGCCACGAGAAGAGAAAAAGAAGCAGGTATGGAAAAGATAGCAACAAGTGGAAGGTTTGCAATGTGAAAAAGGTTTACAATTTCTTTAAAATAATGTGGTTTTAGTTGGGACTTGCTAGACTCATTAACGCTCACCACTTGACACCTTTACACGGAGGAACAGTAAAGTCTCCTCAGTAGACTTAGGCACCCATATAGGCCCGTTATTTGAGTGCGAAAAAAGAAGCCAAAACAACTTGTAGCTGCTTTGGTTATGTGAGAGAAAACAACATTAGGTTGAACCGGCCGAAAGTGCTCTGATAACCCGTGAGACACTTCCAGCCGATCCAGCACCAACCGATCCAGCTGCCGCCGCGTGAACGGGGCCATAGTTTGATGAAAATTTGGAGACCCTTTCTTTATAACTAAGTTTGGAGATCTTAAGGCCTAATCAGTCGGGTTTTTTTTAAAAGGCGACCCTATACGCTACAACACCAGTTTTATTGGTCTTAAAAAGTATGAGACCTGGTCTTGACACGACCTTATATTCAGAATAAAAAATTTGCTACAAAGAAAGCTGACGGCGAGAGATCATTGGAGAACTATCTTTGCTTGGCAGCCATGTGTATATGAGAAAGAAAACAAGGAAGCTACAACCAGCGAACATGCCGAACGTCTCGTGTATCTTAAAACTAGCATTTAAGAGACAAATTTGTTGCAATGGATCTTCTAGCTCATCTCATATATATACCTATAACATTTAAGTGATCTCCTAAGACCATCTACCTTTACCCTAAAGAAAGGATAAAACCCCTACTCTTTATACAGCAGCACGAGAATTATCTAATGATTATGAGATCCTTGCGTTCCAAACAAATCGAAGTGTATTTTTTTTTCACGCTAAACGGAAACGGCTGAAGTATCCATTGGGTGAGGACGATAATAAAACTACTGTAGTTGGAGTGGTGTGGTGCACCAGACCAGAGAAGCCGACGTGTTGGAGTAGCTCGGCGGTTTCAAACGAATCCGATGACTGACTCCGTTGGCGAGACGTCACACTCACCTAATCCCCGATTCCCGAACCCCATCAGCCAGCTCTTGCCGCCCCGTTTCTAGAAATTAATTAACTAACGGAAAGGTTTGTCCTCGGAAATCGATAAAGCACGGGAGCTTTATTTACAAAAGTCAGCTACGTATCCTAATCCAGCAACACCCCGGAGCTTATCGGTAATCCCGAGCTGAGCTGCGGTGCGCTGAGGTCTCGGCCCCTCCAATCCCCCGGCCTGGCAAGTGGGCAAGTGGCGACGACGACGAGTGCGCGGTGACGCGAGCGCAAGAGACAAACAAAGCTTTGACACGCACCCACTCCTGCTCCCTCCCTCCCGGCTCCCGCAAAGAACACGCGCTGCGCACACAGGCACAGCACAGCACAGCACGGCACACATAAGGAAAAGGAAGGCGGACGACCCAGGGAGAGGCTCGGAAGACGGAAAGAGTCGCCGGCGGAGACCCCAATCGAAGGCCCCCGGTCGCTTCGCCCGCAAGGCATATCCGTGCCCCTCTTGGCCACCGGGTAAAGCTCATTCCTTTTTGCTGCAATTTCGTGAGCTTAATTTGGTTATGGTGGAGCTAGCTTGGTCGAAGCTGGTTTCGGTGGGTGAATTTGACGGGTTCTTGGTCCTTCCGTCTGATGGATGCGTTGGGTTCTGTGGCCTGCCTCGGTTCGGAGGTTTTTGCTCTTGTCGTGGGGGATTTTGGTCGGGGGTTTGGAGCTTTCCTGGTTTGGGAGTTGGGAGTTGGCTGTGTACCAGTGAGTGATTCCTGTTTAACGTCGCTTGACGCAAGGATTGATTTCTGCCGTTTGATAGGCATCGGGGTCTGTACATGGTAGTATTCGGCGCAGAGGATTTGACTTGAGCTCCTCTGCTATACGAGTTAGAATTGGGAGGTGAGGACGAATTCACAAGCCCACCGCAAGAGTACCTCTTGCCCTATTCGCTGTCATGCCTTTCCCCGGTCATAGCTTCGATGAATAGCTCAGCAACTAAGTCTTGCCTGCGTGCTGCTTGCGGACAAGCACATGATAAGATAATCTCAAGCGCTTGATGCCCATAGGGCATAAGCTACATAGTTCTCAAGGAAATTAATCTAAACAGTTTGGAGAATCCAGCGACTCCATGGATTAGAGGTGGTGGTAGAACAGGAACATGAACTTTGAGCTAGCTGGCCCAATCTCAGTCATCATCTTGTTTGATCATGATGTTCTTGCTTTGCTTTGGATTTTATTAAAAGTTAAAAGTTTCTAGAAAACTGTTTGCTTTTTATGTGTTGGAAAGACTATTTGGCTACACGGACGGAAAGAGGTTAGGTGGAAGTGTGGAACAGCTGCCGATCGAGTAGTAATTGCTGAGCTGGTTCATGACTTCATGTCAGTTAGTGGCAATGATTCATGCTTATAGCACTAGATCACACTTCTCTTGTGCTGGCTGCTATCATCTTTACTGCACACGAGAGTGTTTATGGATGGTTCCATAATACATGCACATGAAACGGGGTGATTCATAAATGGCTGTAGTTTTAAATTTTCCATACTGTATGAGTGGTAGTGATAATAATAAAATATCACCCACATTCTGCTTAGTTTACTTGTAATAATATGTGCAGTTTATTTTCTATAAGCTGATCAATTTTTCATGAACTTTTGTTTGTAGGAGTAAAAACTACTTAACGCTAAGCTTTGGGAATGGAGTTGACAACTTCTGCTGAATAACAGAAATTTTTTACTCATCTTTTCCTGATTTCATGGAACTTCTTGATAGTAATGGTCACGGGGAAACAAGCGCACAGAATGCTGAAAATATTGCACCAGTTTCTGTTAAGAGTCCAGATACATCCTTGGAAATCCAAGAAAAGTTACCTCACAATTTGGCAGAGCACCAGGAAGAACTGGGGTCCCCTGTAGGCCACGCTGGGAGTTTGTCACCAAAAATTCTCTCCCACATAGTACCAGCTCAGGCATCTGATGTTTCGTCAAAAGGCGAGGGAGATCATGTTACTCTAACAAATAAGGATGAAGTGAAAATCACATCTGAAAATGGTTTTACTGTTGCGAGTATTATGCCAACAGCTGAAATGAAATCTGAAGAAGACAATATGTATCATCATGAGAACATTGCTGTCACCCCCAAAAAAAGAAAGTAGAATCAGCAAAGGGATCTGAAGGCTCATACACAGGTCTTGTTGACACTAGTGCGCCATTTGAGTCTGTTAAAGAGGCTGTCACCAAGTTTGGAGGAATTGTTAATTGGAAGGCCTACAGGGCTCAATCATTAGAGGTAATGTCTCTTTGTTTCACACCAAATGTGGATCATGGTCAGCCACATACTTCCTTGAAACTATTGTCTTATAATATTTTACAAAGTAAAATTTGTTTATATGCAGAGACGCAGGGTGATGCAACTTGAACTTGAAAAGGTTCAGCAGGAGATTCCACAATTCAAAGAAGACTGGGAAACTGCTGAGGTGGCCAAGTCACACGTCATTGAGGAGCTAGAGAGAACTAATAGATTTGTCGACGAGCTGAAGCATAAACTGGAGAGGGCACAGCTTGAAGTGGACCAAGCAAAGCAAGATTCTGAGCTTGGCCTGCTTAGGGCACAAGAGATGGAGCAAGGGATTGATGATGAAGCTAGTGTAATAGCCCAAACACAGTTGGCAGTTGCCAAAGAAAGACATGAAAAGGCTGTTGAGGAACTGAAATTGCTGAAAGAGGAGTTAAGATCAACACTTGAACAGTATGATGTATTAGCCACTGAAAGGGATGTAGCCATTGAAAGGGCCGAGGAAGTTGTTTGTGCTGCTAAGGATACTGAGAAGCAAGTAGAGGAACTCACTTTAGAACTTATTGCATCCAAAGAGTCTCTCGAGTTAGCCCACGTTTCACACCATGAAGCTGAAGAGCACAGACTTGGGGCAGCTTTGGCGAAAGAGCAGGATTTCCTGGCTTGGGAGAAAGAGCTACAAGATGCACAAGCGGAGCTACACCAGCTCAACGAACAAATTGCATCCAAAATGAATGTGGAGTCCAAAGCTGATGAAAAGCAGCGCAAACTACTTAGCCTGAAAAGTGCGCTAGCTGCCTATGTGGAAAACAAATTGAATGAAGAGGCTGGAATGGTTCAGGAGCAAGGTTCCGACGAAGCAAAAAGAAATTAGTAGGTCAATCAAGGAAGCTCTAGCTTCAAAAAGGAAGGAGCTTGCTGAATTTAAAGGGAAATTAGAAAACGCAAGAAATGAAGCCAATTTAGTAAGAGTTATTGCAGAATCACTCAGTTCAGAACTTGATAGGGAGAAAGCGTTACTTGCTACATTGCAGCAGAGCGAGGGTATGGCATCCATCACAGTTTCTTCTCTAGAAGCTGAGCTCGATAGGACAAAGCAAGAGATAGAAATGGTACATAAGAAAGAAGCAGAAACTAGGGAAAAATGGCGGAGCTTCAAGGATGTTGCAGCAAGCAGCCCAGGAGGCAGAAGATGCCAAGATGGCAGCTCATTTGGCACAAGAAGAACTGAGGAAGGCCAAGGAAGAAGCTGAGCAAACCAAGGCTTCTGTGACAACTGCAGATACCAGGTTGCGTGCAGTTTTGAAAGAAATAGAGGCGTCTAAAGAATCTGAAAGGCTAGCCATAGTGGCAGCTCAAGCTATGCAAGAGAGCAAGGAGACAGGAAGCATTGACGCTTCTCCTCGAGGAGTAACACTTCCTATAAGTGAGTATCATGCTCTTAGCAAGAGGGTTCATGAAGCCGAAGAACATGCAAATGAGAGGGTGGCAGCTGCGTTGGCACAAATAGAGTTGGCAAAAGAGTCTGAATCAAGGAACCTAGAGAGGTTGCAAGAGGCATCCAGGGACATGGACGAAAAGAAGAGTGATCTTCAAATCGCACTGGAGAGGGCTGAGAGGGCAAATGAGGGGAAGCTTGGTGCTGAGCAGGAGCTGAGAAGATGGAGAGCTGAACATGTGCAGCGCCGGAAAGCCCATGAGGCTGCACAACATGCAGTTAGTCCTGTGAGAACTCCACCGAGGATGTTTGTCGAGCAGAAGGGCTCTTATCAGGAAGAAAATGAACATCTCACAGATCCGAAGTTGCACAAGTCAACTGGTAGTATGGATCAATTTGTTTCGGACGAGAAATTGCGAAAAAAGAAGTCGTTCTTCCCCCAGATGTCCACACTTTTGTCTAGAAAGGCACATACACAAACATAAGAGTGATTGTTCTAAAAAAAGAGTTTATGTATCTTTGTAAAATGAAAATGGCGTAAATTTAGTTTTTGTCCATGTTCTTGTAAATTGTTTCACACTTGAAGACTGTACGAGTGTATGTATTTGTATAATGTTTTTGGGGAGGATGCTGTTACCCAAATCTTTCTTTGCTTTACACCCTATCTCTGCCCATTTTTTTTTCTTCTTTGCATCGAAAACCTCGGAGGGAATTTGTGTGTCCATTTATCAACAGCCTGTTCGGAAGGCCGTATTGTATCGTGGATTATTCTTCTTTAATTTGGTTTGGTGTGAGAGAAAAACAACATTCGGCTGAAAATTTACGATCGATTTTCTGAGCAAGCGAACAATGACTGCTGAAACTCTTGACTAATACTAATTGAGCTGTAAAATACACGGGCCCATTTGCTTCCAGAGATTAATTTTAATCCCTATCACATAAGATGTTTGATACTAATTTAGAGTATTAAACATAGGCTAATTACAAAATTAATTGCATAGATGGAGACTAATTTTGAGGCGAATCTATTAAGCCTAATTAGTTCACGATTTGATAATGTGATGCTACAATAACATGTGCTAATGATGAATTAATTAAACTTAATAGATTAAGTCTCGTAAATTATCTCTATGTGTAAGCACCACATTATCAAATTATGAACTAATTAGGCTTAATAGATTAAATCATGCAAATTAGCTCTCCATCATGCACTTAGTTTTATAATTAGCTCGGGATGTTTGGATCAAGGACTAAAGTATCACATCGGATGTTCGGATGCTAATTAAGAGGACTAAACAGGTCAGGTGTTCTCAGTTAATATGTCTAAACAAGTTGGGGGCATCCTTCTTCGTGTTAGATCTGGCTTCCGATAGCAAATTAGCTGAACTGCTGAAGGGAGTCAAGATTCAGCAGATTGTGATTTTTTTTACAGTTAAGTGGCAGAAAGCTGCTGAAATGGCTGGTATATTCAGTAGGCAGGGCCAATCATACAGCAGGTTTTCTGAAAACTGATGCTAAGAATATCATGCCATGTCTTATGTCTATGCATTAACATCTACGTTTTATTCTAAACTTCATGCATCTGAGTAAAAAGTAACCCAGTAGTGCAATTGGCTTCAACTCATGGTGGAAGACTGTATCTGTATGGGTTCTTTCATGAGGACGACAAGAGTAGGAAATTAGTAACGGCTATACAAATGGCTCCCATATTGAGAATCCTGTTGCCTAGGCCAAAAAGTTCCTATGCATCAAAATTATTGCCTGGCAGTTCAATGAGCTCATCCTTGCAGCAGAAAACAATGGCTACCTCACTCGATATGAAAGAGGAAGCGATCATTGTCACCCTGCTTCTGTTTCAGATAAATATTAAATGAAAGGTGGAACTAAGCTCCGTTGTGTTTATGAATTTTTCCCTACAGATTACAGTTAAGCTAGATCTATATGCAACAAATTTGAACGTTTCCTCTTTGCCAGAACAAGATTTATAGGTACCAAATTAAATTCATAAACCTTAGAAATATATTCAAATTCAGCAACACCATTTCAAGTACATAGAAGCAAAAGTTCAAAAAACAAAAGGAATAAATATTTGTTAGAAAACTGTGAGTACAGTGGTACAACTGCAGAATTATGGTGTAAATACAAAAAAAAAAGAGTAGTCAATGTGATGTACTGATGTGCCTCATGACTATACACATGGCAAAGAATAAAAAAAAAAGAAAATACACGTGGTGAGAGGATTAACAAGGGAGGAAGCATTGAGTGACTGAGACTGGAAAAAGCATAGTCTTTATGGTCACTCATCAAGCAGCGTGACATGTGAACAACACCCCAAAAAAAAAAAAAAAAACTACGTTCGGACTAAATGGGGTTCAACCAACGACTGGTATTAACAAATAGACAAGTCGTGCAGACTTGATAATCAATGACAGAACTACAAAAGGCAGCACACCTTAAGGCTACCAGTTCATTTGAACCTAGAGGTCAGTTGTGGTCTCTCTGAATATAGACTTGATAAGCTCAGACTTCAACCTTCTACAGAACACTGTAGTGCATCATACAAATGACACCATAAATCTCCATAATCTGTACTGATCACCATTTGATAAGAACGAAGTAGGTGAAAATTCTTGAAGAGTCTACTTTATTTGCTAATGCTGTTGTTAGTGATAGTTACTGTGTATGAACCAATGTATAGAAACCGTCAGGGAAGGCCTACTTAGGCACAGGTTGGACAGCAGATTGGGAATCTGCAAAAAGAGGGTAACTAAGGATTCAGCACATGTTATTGTCCAGTGCAAAAAGAAAAAAAGGTTATAGCTTCTGGGTAAAGACATCCATACTTCTTGAATGTAGCTTCCCTTCCATGGCCTCCTTTTTCACTTGACAGGAGGAACAGAGAAAAGGACCACCCCAGGGGTCAACTCTTGAATGCTTGGGCATGTTACCATGAACAGAGGTGCCCTCACCAGGTTTCATCTCCAATTGGCAGACAGCACAAGCATGCAGCTTGAACATATTTCCTGCTGGATAATTTATATTCAACCTGTGGACAAGATAAAAGTGCTTAGGCCAAATCGCACATGGATATGTATACTTCATGTTCAAATGTAGTTGCGATAAATGCATCTATTGTCCAAACCTCTTACGCAGATGCATGCTCCCACCACATATTCTTTAATTACAAAGTATAAAATGTATCCAGCACAAAGAAAAACGAATGCTGACCGATGCATGCTCCCACCACACATCCTTTAATTACAAAGTATAAAATGTATCCAGCACAAAGAAAAAGGAATGCTGACCTTCGAGCAAGCATTGCAGAACCCTCCTCGTATATTTCCTCCACAACATCAGGTTCCAAACATCCTCTGTCCATCTGGTCTTCAGACATTTCATCAGAGGGCCTCCGACGGAACAGAGCTTTGATGACTCCTTTTCCATGCCTCTTTAGTGGGGGGCTTAACTTTTCTGGAGGTAGTATGTCAACTACTATGCAAGTAGTGTCATCTCTTAATCCCTTTGAAGTGACAGCTTCCTGCATAACAAAACCTATGAGTACAGATAAAACCATAAAGCATGCCTTATCGACAAGGGGGGAAGAAAATAGATAGCAGTACCTTAACAATTCGATTAGCTGCAGCTTCAGCTGGCAGACCCCTGGTGTAGTTCAGAGCCTCTTGAAAACGCAGGGCATCCCACACACCGTCACTGGCAATGACAAGCCGTCCACCAGCATTGGACAACTGCAATAATGTAGGCATCAAACCTCACATCAATTCATTTAGATTAGTGACCTTACGCTAAGATACCATTGATCTTTATGACTCGTCTCCGCTACTATCTAATAACATGAAGAATCTTTTCCACCACTGCACTTATACTTTTTTTTTCTCAAACACGAAGGACAGCTGCACATCATTATATTAAGAAGAAAACCACTGCACTTATATAAATAGTTCATATGTTTTATGCACCTTTACTTGCTTCACGTGTGGGACAGGAACTATAAATTCCCCGACGTCGATATCACCAATTGACCTTGATAGACACAATCCACCTGGCCAGCATCTGAGTGGACCAATCTGAGTAATGACCGCAAAGAAATTGTCCTTAAAATTACAACCTGTCCACTCACATGAATACAGCATTGTGTACTTGGGTGGGGAGGGTGAAACAAATAATCAACTTGGTAACTGACAACATACATAAAAGAAAAGTAACTTACCCCAGCACCCCCAGCAATATTTATTCTCCCAACTTCACCACCACTTGCTGTTACACGCTCCACCCTGCAGTTATGGAGCTTGGGTTAGTCATAAGTCAAACGATATTGTAGTCATTGGACTTGGACGTAAGGACATACTCCTCTTCATTAGCATCCAGGCGATGATCTGCTGATAAAAAATATACTGAACCCTCAGCAGATTCTAGAATACATCGTGAATCCCCAACTGATGCTACAGTGACAACCCATCCATCTATTATAACAAATGTCACAGTGGTCCCTGAACGTGCAGCTGAAAACATTGTAACAGTCAGTTTACATCGCAGTAAAACAGTCTGAGGATCCCATGATATATAGGAGGCTAAAACCATGCTATCCACAGTAAACAGCAAATGTGTATGCTCCTGTAAACATTGCACACCCACTGAGAAATAATTTGCTTTTGAATGGTAACAAGACAGGCAGACCTGACATCCCATTTATAATACCTTTTGTTTGGAAGTCTTTGTCTGTTTTTACAAAACCAGCAACTAGTGCCCTTGGCAACGCAGCTGTCCACTCCTCACTTGTGAGATTTGGAGGTATAGCAGCCAACACATTGTTTATTAGATTCTCCCGGGTGTATATGGCAGCTGTAGAGCCATTGTGTCCATCAAAAATCTGATGCGAGAAACCAGAATGAATAGTTTGAGTGAGATTAGCAATCACTTTAGTTGGTATAAGGAAAGTTTCAATATAGAAAATATAATACTCTCCATTCATAGTGTAGAACTGAATTATCACAAGAGTATTCCGACATGGGTTGACTTTGCCATTACACTGCTCTATTTTGTGTTGATAGAGAGTGTTGGATTGATATATGAAAATTTGTAGGACCAAACTAATTGCCAACTACTGGAAGCCTGAAAGATCCCAAACAGTTTGAATATTGCCAAACCAGTGGTCTTCTGACCACCGAAATGATAGAGTCAAGACAATCAAGAGCAGTAAAAATACTAGCTGACATATGTCGCCATGTGCCTTGATGCCAGCGCACCGCAAAATTAGGCCTATCAATCATGCTACTACTCTATGCAAAAGACAAACAGTATGAGACCATGACACCACAGGAAGCACTAGTTCCATGATGGAAAACAATCACGAAATCTTAGAAATGGTGCTATTACACTAAACACATTATAAGGAGTAAATAAGCCTCCATAAAATCCAGGCTCAGAAGCATAGATGAAACTTCTAGTTATATGCTACAAGAACGAGATTCCTACCACACTTTTAGTCCATCAAGCCACATGACCAATTACCAGCAACAATCAGGCGGCAAACTGTACATGGCACAGAAATGCGAAATGAATGCAGTAAACACAGGCCAAAAATAAGAAGAGGGTCACTGAATCATTACCGCAAACACGGAAATGGTGTCGTCGTCGCCTGTATTCTCGCCGCCGCTGCCACTGCTGCCGCCTTCGCCCGTGGTGCGTGGCACCTAGGCATGAGGAGCGTGAAGTCCTCCCCTTTCTTGCTCTTGTTGGCCTCCCCGAACAGGATGTCCGGCCTCTCCACCTTCTGGTTCCACAGCTCCCGCTTGAGGAGCACGGCCAGGGGCACACCGGACCCATCGACGTCGGCGTGCACCTCCATCGGAGCTCAGGCCTCCAAATCCCTCCGCCCCCGATCCGCCGCCAATTCCCCCAAAGAATCGGGCGGGGAGACGGATCTGGGGCGAGGAAAGAAACGCGTGGAAAAAGGCTACTACAGCATACAGTGGGGGAGCTTTGTAACGGATCAACGAGGGACTTGGGCCAATCCAACGAAAGAATTCTTTTTCCCCCCGCCGCAACCGAATTCCCCGCCCAAGAAAACGGAGAATCCCTCGGACAAGGACGGTGAATCTCGATGCGGCTACTGCTGCTGCTCGCCTAACGCGGCTTGGATCCCAATCTCAGCGGCCTCTCCAAGAAACCGCAGGAGCATTGGCCAGACCGGAGCCGAACGAATTCCCACACCCCAGCAACCGCAAAACCTGGGGCGAGGAAACCGCCGGCTACTTATTTTGGGAGCACGGAGTGGGGGTCCGCGAACGTGATCGAGCTGGAGGACGAGGTGGGAGATCGGGAACTTTGAGCGGATTCAAGAGGGGGGAAGGGGAGGCTGGGAGGTCAGGCTAGCTGGATCGGCCGATCTTGGGGAGAGGAGGAATTAGTTAAAAGCCGTTACGGGAAGGCCGAACCGCCGAAGAGAAGCGCCTGAACGTGCGCGCCAGGAAGGAAGGCCGCTCAGCTCATCGGCATCGAGCTGTCAATCTGCTCTATTGTTTACTTGTGATGATTGATTGATTGATTATATACCCGGGACAGGATTATCCGTTACCTAATCTCTGTCAGTTCTAAAATTTGTCAGAATACAGATATGTGCATCTTGTTAGGGAGAATAAATAAATTGGTGTATAGATGTCGGTATCGTTGTTCATTTCGCCCAATTTTTGCGTGGGGACATGTCATGAAGTATATGGGATTTTTTCCTTATTTTTTTATTGTTTTCCAGTAAAGAAAAAAGAGGTACGATTTGTATAATCTCTTTCTTAAAAAAAAGTCTGGCGATTTATAAATAATCTGGTTGCAAGTTGCAACTGCTGGACCTTCAGCATAATGTGCTATATCTTTCACGGCAAGCAAGGGCCTCGGTCACTGAATTTCTCAAAGCCATGGGTTTGGTCACGACGTTTGAGTACTAAACTAGGAGTATAAGAGACGAGTCAATTAGCAATGAATCTGCTCATACCAAAGTTTGATGCTGATGAGAGATAATCTGTAGGCCATCAATAGGCGACGCATGATGCGGGACAATGTTGAGCCCAAGCGAAGGTTTGTCCACACTTACAGCTGTCTTATCCTTGCATGGCATGAGTGAGTTCAATGTGTCGACAAGCAACGTGTAAGCAGAGACGATGGCGTGACGGTTAAACGGCTTGCAGCAGCCTACGGCCGTTTAGCACGGCATGGCATGGGTTAGTTCGGTGCGAGACAACGTCAATATACAACTCAAACAGAGGTGATGGCGTGATGCCTACACGGCTTTGCAGTGGCATGTGGCGGCTATCCATGCATGGCATGTGTAAATCTAGTGCAAGGATCGATAGGCGGCGTAATTGGAGGCCCGGCTACATGACTTGTAGCGGTCTGTGCGGTGGTTAGCCTTGTATATAATGTGTGCTGACAGTTGTAAGGAAAATGGACCATAAGCTCATTTAGTTTGGATTTCAATGTTTGATGATCAACACAATTAAGTTGGAATAATGTGTTTGTAAGTGTATGTTTTGTAGTCCAATAGGTTGCATAGCGGACTTGGATTGAGAGTGGAATATGAAGAATTGATCAACACTTTAGGGAGGACACTAAGAGGATGTGTGATCAATCTAGAAGTGAAGCTAGAGTCTAAGACGTAAAGATTAAAAAGCCCGGACCAAGACATGAACAAAATTGAAGTCACCGAAGCCAAGACAAAGATGTGAATGAATTGGAACTGTCTCGTGATTTTGGATCAGCTCAAATTGATATGACACCAGTTCAGAGATGAAGAGTTCTTCATTAGATTTCCAAAAAGTCTAAGATCATTAAAATTGGAGTTCGGAGCTAAAAGTTATGTCCAAAATACAAAAGTGTGTTAAGCTCAGTACTATAACTGTAGTAGTCCGGAGCATAGTTCGGAGCTTCCAAAATAGCTATTTGGAAGGCAAAACGCACCGGGCCCGTGGTGCATGGTCTGGAGCAAAAATACCTCTCGGTGTAGTTTTTGGACAGCTCACGACCGAGATGCACATTGGTCCGGAGGCAGGGTCCGGAGCTTGGTCCGGAGCATGGAAAAGAGTCATTAGAGCGCGGCAACAGTCGGATTTGAACGTGTGGACAAGCGGACCCTGGTGAGATGGTCTGGACCCCCCAAGATAGTCCGGTCCGGAGTGACGCAGTAAAGTCCTCCAATGGGTCCAACGGCTCTATTTCATTAGAAGCCTATATAATACCCCCATGGCCGACGAAATGAGGTGGGTGAGAGCCTAAGGAATTGGTATATGAGTTGAGACTTAAATTTAGTTGCTCTAGCCACCAAAGTGCTTAGAGAAATATTAGGTAATTAGCGTAGATGCTTTGCGAAGTGCTTAGGTTGATTAGACCGTCACTTATGCGCTTGCTCTAGGTTTAGGCCTAGTATTTAGTGAGGTTTACACACTTCTTATCACTCGGTGCTTGCGCACACCATTATTGTACATCGGAGGGACTTGTAGTCTTGCGAGATCACACCAACCATGTTTGTGGTGTGGCTGCCACCGTGTATTGAAGGGAACAAGGCCTGCGGCGTTTCGGTCAGAACCTTGATAGCGAAGACGGCGGGGAGCGGTCTGGGAGAGGCTTACCGAAAGGCACACCGGAGACCCACTTGCATGTGGGGAAGGCCCGGGGCTATCCACGGAGTTACCCGACCGGGAGCTTGGCCCTCGTGAGAGATTCCTTACGAGTAGAGCTAGATAACGAGCCGGCTCGGCTCGACTCATTCTGGTTCGTTAGGATAACGAGCTAGCTCGGCTCGGCTCGTTATCCTAACGAGCCAGAAGGCCAGTTTGGCTCTGCTCGTTAAAAGCTCAAGCTGGCTCGTTAAGCTCGCGAGCCAGGTATAAAAAAATTCACAAAATATAATATTTGTATTTATCTAAAGTTTGAGAATAATAATAATACAAAAGAAATACATTTAACAATCTTAAATCGAATAAAAAAATTAATATGCGCTAATATATATACAAGTATAATAAAATACTATAGTATTCATGGTCCATACTCCATACCATAAATAATACGATCCATGAGTATCCATGTATCCATTAAAAACAAAATAATATAGTAATAATAATCCTAAATTTATAGGGTCTAGACCAGTTACCAGTCAATTGTAAAGTGCAAGACATGAAGTAATAAAAAACTAATATAAGTTTTGTACTTTTTTTTCTGAAAGCTTGGCTCATTTAGCTCGCGAGCGGCTCACGAGCTGGCTCGAGTTGGCTCGTTATAGCTAACGAGCTAAAATCTTGGCTCGGCTCGGCTCATTATCATAACGAGCTGAGCTGAGTTGAGCCGAGTCGAGCCAGCCACGAGCCGAGCGAGCTAACGAGCTTCGAGTTTTTCGTCCAGCCTTATTTGCGAGGGGCTCTAACAAGGACTAGGGAAAAGCTTGAACGCTTCTCGATACCTCGATAAAAATACCGGAGTCGTCGATGGGAGTTTGCATCTCTACCTCATATTTACCTTCCGCATTTATATTGCTACCATGGTTGTGTGCTTTACCCTTCCTAGCTTAGTTGATAGGCTAGTTGATATGATCGGAACCTAGGTTGCTGTTGATGGTCACTAACATCAATTATAAACCATCAACATAACATATATTTATACTTAATTCCACCACCAAACATAGGTATAGGGGTTTAAACTAATAAATTACATGAGTTTTGGTGAATCTGTATTTTCGGCAGGGTTTATCCAGAAAATCGTCAGGAGGACCTATTCGTCAAAGGAAATAACGGAATTCCGTCGTGTAATCGACGTGGAAAGACTCTAGGGGGCGAATCACCGAAGCGGAGCCCGTGTCTCTGACATGTGGGTCTAGCTGGCCCCACCTATAGGCCGCCCAACCTGTGGCCCCCCATGTCAGCCTCCTGTTGTTATGTCGGTTCTCCACCTCCTTCTAGGTTGTATCTACGCCGTCCTTTAGTTATCCTCTCTATGCTCCTATTTATCCTAACCTTATTGCTACCCTTAATTAAGTTAGACCATAGTTAGTCTCACATGTTTTCTCTATGGATACGATACTTGGAATACCTATAGGTAAAAGCTACAGTGGTATCCGTGCGCTTGCGGATTTATCTGTGTGTGTTAAATATACCAACAAGCTTTCTGACGCCATTGTTGGGAAAACGGTTACTGAATTAACTACAAGCCTAGCTTAACCTTTTATCTTTTATTCTTTCTTTTACTTTTTTGTTTAGCATGGATTCCACTCCTGTCTAATAATATGCTAAACCCACGAGCGCAAGCCTAGAGCCACCAAAATCTTCAGAGCCCATCCTAACACCTGACTATGAGTTGCGCCCGTGTTTTATAAAATTGATTCATGATAAATTCTTCTCGGGAGAAGGCGATAAAAACCTATGCTCACACCTACAAGAGTTTGAATAGACCTGTGCATGCTTGCGTATCGCTGGCATGTCTGACAAAACCATAAGATGGAAGTTGTTTCTGTTCTCTTTGATGGGAAGAGCTAAACAATGGTACAGTCAAACCGTAGGAAGTATGAAAGGAGATTGGAAAACGTTATGCTCTAAATTTTATTTACGTTTCTTTTCTATCTCTAAAGTAGTCAGCCTTTGGAAAGAGGTTCTAAATTTTAGACAACTAGAAGAAGAATCTTTTGGTACATCATGGGTTTATTTTAATGAACTCATCATCACTGGCCCAGACCTTGTTATTCAAGACTCTGTACTTCTTCAACATTTTTACATGGGTCTTAGCAAGGATTCCATGGAATCCCTTGATGCAGCCTCTAGAGGAGCTTTCCTTCATTTGTCTACTAGTGAAGTAAGGGCTATGCTTGATAGA